TGATCAGGTTAAAAGTATGTACAACAAGTTTCAAGCAGAACAAGTATTACTTAGCTCTGATGACAAAGCTAAAAAAGAGGAAGAAATCATTAAAAAAGAAACCGAAGTAAGAGAGCTTCAAAAAGCAAAATTTGGACCAGAAGGCGCCTTGTTTAAAAAACGTCAAGAGATGGTAGCTCCGATCCAAGATAAAGTATTTGCAGCTATAGAATCTTATGCAGCAGATAGAGGATTCGATATTATTTTCGACAAAGGTGGCGCTACAGGCTTGTTATTTTCCAATGTAGAATATGATAAAACGGCTGATCTAAAAAAGAAACTAAGCATTAAATAAAATCATATCAAAATAAAACAATCAACTTACATAAAATGAACAAATTAGTATTATTCCTAGGCTTATTTTTAGTGTCATCATTGACCATCAATGCACAAAAAATAGGTTACATCAATTCCCAAGAAATTCTTACAATACTTCCAGAAGTAAAACAAGCCAATTCTGATATTGAAGTCATGAAATCTATGTTTCAGAAAAAAGGAGAAGAAATGGTTAAAGATTTACAGATGAAGTATCAAACCCTACAACAAAAGCAAGCAAGTGGTGAACTTGCTCCCGTAGAAATAGAAAAACAAGCTGCCGCTCTTAAGCAAGAAGAAGCAAAATTGGGAGAGTTCGAGCAATCAAGTCAGCAAAAAATAAGAGAGAAAAGTGAGGAATTGCTTAAGCCAATCCAAGACAAAGTAAATAACGCTATCAAAGATGTAGCATCAGAAAATGGTTTCCTTTATATCTTTGATTCTGGTATGGGTTTGGTCTTATATGCAGACCCTTCATCAGATGCGACCAAACTTGTCAAAACAAAATTAGGCATCGCGCAATAATAACAAATGCTTAAAAACCCGCATCAACCGATAGGGATTTTTGATAGTGGCATTGGTGGTCTTACAGTCGCCAATGCCATTCATCATTTTTTACCCAACGAACGACTGATTTATTTCGGCGATACTGTCCATCTACCTTATGGTGATAAATCTGCGGATGCCATTAGATATTATAGTCTTAGGATTAGCAAATTTTTGTTGGAGCAAGATTGTAAGATGATCATCATTGCTTGTAACTCCGCTTCTTCGGCAGCTTATGATATGTTGCTGGATTTTTTTGAAGGCAAGGCTTTATTTGTTAATGTAGTAGATCCACTAGTCAATGCTGTCATTAGCCAAGCATATAAAAATGTAGGTGTCATAGCTACAAAAGCTACTATTAACTCTTCCATCTATAAAAATAAAATAAAATCTCTTAATCAAAAAGTTAAAGTTAATCAAGTGGCAACGCCTTTATTGGCACCTATGATAGAAGAAGGTTTTTACAGTGGTAATATTTCTAAAAGTGTCATAGAAAACTATCTAAGTCACCCTGATTTAAAAAATATTGATGCTTTGTTACTAGCATGTACGCACTATCCATTGATAAGAAATGAAATCAATGAATATTACAGCGGCCAAGTTGCAATTTTGGATTCCACCGATGTCGTCAGAGATGAAGTTAAGCGTATTTTAACCGAAGAAGGTTTACTTTGCGAAAACAGAATTGGTCATGATGCCTTTTATGTTTCTGATTATACTTCTTCATTTGAGGAAACGGCAAAAAACTTTTATGGTGAGGATCTTAAATTGGAAGCACTTCAAATTTGGACTTAAATAAATATAAGTTTTATCTCTTAGGTTATACTGAATGAAACTTTATGTTTTTCAAGTTTTTTACGCTTTAATTTAACCTTTTTGCTTTGTTTTGGTTAATATTCTAGATTTCTATTTTAACGTAATTGAGAGCCATTTTAATTTAATGACCTATGTACAAGTTTTTATTTTTTTTTTCATTTTTAGTTTTTGTCTCTTGTGATAAAAGTGATGATAATCAATCAGTGGTTAGTGATCTAAAAGATATAAATTCACTTTCCGACTACGAAAATGAGATTAAATCAGGAGTTAGTTTAATATTTTACCAAGGTCCAATTCGTGTTACGTTTACAAAAGTTTCATTTTCATAACGATAAGCACCTTTAAAACCAACAAACCAAAGTCGTTCTTGCTTATCTTGATAAATTTGGAATGGGAAAGGTGAAAAGTCACTATCCTTATTTTTAATTTTCGTGAATGTTTTACCGTTGTAACTATAGATATCGCGCTTATTCACACTAAACCAAAGCGTACCCTCTTTATCTTCAAATACACAACCAATTCCTCCTTCATTTCCGATGAGTTTTTCCGTAACATTAGTTAATGTGTTTCCGTTATACTTATAAATTCCAAAAGAGGTTGATATCCAATAATTACCATCATTACCTTCAATGATTTGATTCACAAAA